CCGCAAGCCAGTTTTCCTGTCGAAAGGGACATGTGGCCAAAAAATACTACGGTAACAATTGATAATGAAAATGACGGGATCGCAGAAGGAGGACCTCTACATGGAAAGGGAGAGAATGAAAAAGAATAACTACAGCAAGCCCAACTGTCTACTGGTGTACCTCTTGCAATGCGTCAGTTTGCTTTCGAATTTCCCGCCTCCTACCTCCTTCCACTTTCTGAGCAGCTTCCTGCACCGCCTTAACCGTTTCCTGCACCTCCTACGCTTTGTTAACAGCTGTGCGAGAACGTGGCGAGAAAAGTGTCAGTGATCGTCTTAGCAAAAACAGTTACATGTAATCCTGTAACATCCATACATATTTTTTTCTCAATTTCCCTCGGAAAACATGCATCGGGAACATACAGGGCTGTAGGAGAATAACATGTTATAATGAGTGAGTGAGGGGAAGATTCCCCAGCGGGTCCGGATGCCTCAGTATCGACGTGGGGAGATGAGGTGCAAGAGGCTCCCCTTTCGTGCCCGTGGGACGGCCTGTGCAAGGACACTGAGTTCGAGTCAACATTATTTGTTGTTTTAGCGAGCAATCTTTACCATCATAGTTCGCCTTGGGTTGGTCGAAAGCAATTCTTTCTATAAAAAAGTATTTAGTGTCTCAATTTTAATTCCAGGCATTTGCATGATAGGTTTTAGATCACAGATCAGCCAGAACCAGCAATTCTACTGGCTGCCAGAGAAGCTGCAAGAGATTCTGGTACAAGTTGCTCGCCAACACTGAACTATGAAGGTCCTAGAATGTGCATGAGGTACGTGGATGAGTGAGTACATGTAACAATGAAGCAATGAATAATGAATAAGTACACAGATAAAACAATACACCAACATATTTCTCTAAAAAGTGAGAGAAATGTCGAAATTCATCTCTGTTTCATCCTTTCCTCCTGGTGAGGTCGAGACTGATTTCGAAAGGGTTATCTCACCCTGGAAGAAAATTAAAACATCTTGTGTTCTTCATTCAGTGGTTACGGGTCTGTGTTTCTGCCTTTCATCTCGCTGACAAAGAGAGAAGGCAGTCGTCTTCCTACCACTCGAGGACAATTAGATGAGAAGGAAATACTTTGCTCTTACTGAAGAGCATTTCTGCGTGAAAATATTGAATAATATTTTGATACTGATGAATGGTTACTACATCTGATATCAATTAAAGATTACCACACAAGCTTTACCTGAATGGTTTCAGAATACAAAAAAAAAAAAGAAAAAAAATGAAAATCAAGTTCTGAACACTATAACAAGACAGCTCTTGGGCAAGAACTATCTTGTTTACAGTTGCCCGCTATTAGTATTGACGATCACTTTACACATATTACAGTAGGACATTGCTCACTGGGAAAAGCGAGAATCGCGATTTCCAGCTCGCGCGCCGCCTCTTGACGGAACACTAATTCATGTTTCAACCTTCATGCTATAATACTCATCCATATGTCCTCGAGTTTTTTGCAAAATTAGACAGATGCATTACGTAGATTGTGACGAGTGATCCCTTTGTGATACATGGGAGAAATGAAACCAGTTACTGAAAACTTTCACAATGCACATTTCCTGTACAGGTCATGTGCAGCTGTACTCTGCATGTGGATCCTTGCACATGCTTGTTGATCATGTCATGATCCTGAGTGCACATTTGTTGTACTTTGGGCAAGCACGTGCACGGGCGGGGACGTGGAGCTTGGGACACAGAGCACAGGGCAGCAGTGGGGCTTTCGGGAAGCTTGAATGGCATTCAAAGCCTGAATGCCAGTTATTGTGGAATTAAAATTTGAAACTCGATACTAAATATCTATCTATACATATATTTGCAAACATACATACATATATATATATATATATATATATATATATATATATATATATATATATATATATGTATAAATATATACCATGTAGACAAACATATACATTTGTATGTGTAATGTGTATATATGTATATATATTATATAATATATATATATGTATATATATATATATATATATATATATATATTATATATATATATATATATATATATATATATATATATATATATATATATATATATATATATATATGAATATGTGCACAAACACACACACATACACACATAAATATACATATGTATGTACATAAATAAATGTATTATATGTATTTATAGGCGACTTTAAAATGAAAGCGGTAAAACAACAGGATCCCACCACTGTCACCACTCTCGTGCCGGTCCCTGGCAACCACGAGCCCTAACAAAAGCTTCATCATATCACCTCGGCTCCTGGACGCACCTCCTCCATCTCCTTGGCTCGCTTCTTCACCTCGTTCATCTCCTGTTCCACCTTTTCCCTCATCTCCGTGTACCGCTGCTGCTCCTTCTGTAGATACATGAGGTCTTCCCAGGCCTGTGTCACCTCCTCAGGCTCGTCGTCATCGCTGTCTTCGTCTGCTGGGAGGAAAAGACTATTTACTCTGATC